AGCACTGTGAAAGCCCATGTTGTTTGGGGACCGAGAGGTCTGTGAAACGTTCAACTGAGAGGACTTTTCACATCAGCCCACATCTCTTTTTTTTTTCACTTTATGCAGCAAATTATGTGTTGAGATATATGTTCATATATTTATATTGATATTGGCAAGGAATATTATATATATGTACACATACATGATTCTTTGATGCCATTTTTCTTTGCTGTGTTCATTTGTAAACCCAAAGGGTGACCAGAGATCACAGACAAGCTGACACGTCTTTGAAGAAAAGTAATCACTAGGTTTGGTTCTTTTTTGTTTGTACTGCTTACATTTCTTGCATCTGAAGACTACTTTTTAAAAAAAATATATTATGCTCTATTAGAAATGCACTGAACTATATCAGGTTAGCACATACTTCTTCCCCTTCCTGTCCCCCTTTATCTCCCTCACTTCTTGATGGAAGGTAATTTCTTTTGCAATTAGTGAAAGTTGGTCTGTGTCTCTGAAGCCGACCATGCTGAACTGTGAACTTAGGGAGAACCACCACCCCCTCCTTCCACAGATGACTCACAAAGCCAGTTTCACTTGTTCCACGCTGTTGCCTCATTATGTTTAAAGAAGGAGACCTATTGACTAAAAGTTGGACTCAAAATCTAGTGTATTTGTTCAAACAGGTCCTATTGGATTCCAAAGCTTTTTCATAGCCAGCGTCAATTACATAGGGTGCACCTATTTTGTTGAGAAAGTTCCTTGGAGTCGGCATGTTGCCTGCACAGGTTTCTGTTGGCTGGAGGGATGGTGAGGTCTGCCCTACAAGTCTGGTCGTCCTCCAGAGGTCTGGGATGACTCAGATGGGGTTCAGACAAGGGGTGCATTCTGAAAAATCTGTAGAAGGAAATAGCAGAGAGAAAGTGCTCGCCCAAATAGAGGATTGAATGGTGGAAGTATGAAAATGTGGTATTCCAGAAATCAGAGATCAGAGCCCGTTTCTCACTCCATGCTATCTTCGTGACCCCTCTGGGTTGCAGGCAATGGTCCCATCCTACCTGTTGTTCAAGCCCTTCCTGACTGTGCCCCTTCCTCATGCAGACAGCTCCTGCCTTTGTTCCTGATGTTCCAGCAGCAGCGAAATACTTTTAACTTAGCCTGTCTTTATTTCTCTCTGCTTTTGTACACACTATTCATGTGCCTAGAGAGCGCTTCATTTTTTGGCTGGCAAACTCCTATGCACCCCTCCAGGCTCAGCTGGAATAGCCCTCTGCTGTGCCTCCTTCCCCAGCATGTTCGGAGCCTGGCCCACGTCCATCTGCACAGCTCTGCGCGTAGCAGTAGAGTCCTCCTTTCAATGTGTGAGTCCCTATGAGATATTTTCAGTTTTGTCAGAGCCAGGCAAGAACTAGGTTTTACCATCTCTGGCATCCCAATCAGACACAGAGCCTGTTACATACTTGTGAAGTTGGAAGGAGAGAAGGAAATGTAGTTTCTACTAACCATTGCGATGGGCCAGGCACTGCGCTCTCCACTCACCGTCTCTTGCACCCACTACGGCCTGTGAGATGAATCCGCAGTCTCACCATCTTGCAGACGAGGAAATGGAAACTCAAGTGACAAAGCTGGGATTGGAACCTTTCTGCCTGCCTGTGCTCTTGACCCCAGCTCCATTTTCTTCATCTGAAGAAGGGATAAAAATGCTCTTGATCTGATTCTTTTGATGGTGTGATGACATTACTTACAGGAAGCACTTAGCAGAGTAGCCAGTAGCCATTACTTCTTGTGACTGACATGCACAAGCTTCCTCAGCTAGCAGGGGCAGAGGAGACATTTGAACTAAAAGGCTCTTTGAGAACAGACCTATGTTCCTGACTAATGCTTATGGACCGCCCAGCCTTGAAAAGCGGTAATAATAGCTCAGAAGTATCTTGTCTGCAGCAGAGGCTTCTGCAGGTCCCCTCCGGGGGTTCTGGGGAAGAAGCCCCTTCGCCCAGCTCATGGAAATCAGAAGGCCAAGTTGGTAATTGCCCACTGGCTTGGCAGTTTAGAACTCCGCCCAGCAAACATTAGGATGTTACAACACCCAATGGCTCCAGCACTGATGATGTACTCCCAGCAGGAGTAGGAAGGGGTTCAGTCCTGGATCAGGAGGCTGCACCCCTGGGAACTCAGGCATCACCTTCACCCATGTGAATCTCTCCTCAAGCTTCCAGAGACTCATCTATAACTTCCCTCCCTCCCCAGCGTTCAGGAACACAAGGTTTTTAATGCTTCTGGCAAGGCCGGTGTTGTAGATGAACACTGGGTAATAGCTTCCTTATGAAATATGCTTGCTTAAAGGGTTAACTAATTAAGGTGCCTGTATTCATGGATTTGGCAGCCAATTCCTGTACAAATTTGGATCAAACAAAAAAAAAGGTATTTTTCATTGAAAGAACAAAAGTTGTTTAAAAATACATTGTGATTGTTGGGTGCTAAATTAGAAACAAATACTGCAAACTAGATTAACCATGTGAGGCTGGTTCTAGTAGTAACTAATCAACAGTCTTCCAGAGAGAGAGGATATATGTAGAATTTATTTTAAAGAACATTGTTTTAAACAGTTGAGTACATTTTATAAACCTCTGAGGGAAACATCAATAAATTCCACATTTTCACCACTCCCACACCACATACACACAGGCAGAGTAAATGCAGCAAAGCTGGATCATTGTCAAATTAGTTGCAGTCAATTCCCTGCTTTCAGTTGTTGGTGCATTTGAAAAGACAGCAGATCCTGGTTTATCCTCGCCTGTCATCCTCCTGTCTACCCAGAGAAAACCAGAATTCCCAGCAGCCGTTGACACCACACGAGCGCATGTAGCCCCATCTCTCCAGCACCCCACCTTGTAATCTCTGGGTTGCCCTTACCCCACAGAACCACACTGCACGTTAGGGGTGCCCAGCCCATCCCAGCTTCCCAGATCCAACATCTCACTGGGCTCTGCTCTCCAGCTTCACTGAAAGCCAGGGGTGTGCCTGTGGGCCTTGCTCATCCACATACCTGGGTACATGTAATTGCCCAACTGTGTGTGTTTTACCAGCAATAAAAATCCAGGAGGGAAATAAATGCCCAAATTAGATTGTTTGCCCTTGACAAGAGCTCCTCAGTTGGAAAACATGTTTTTTCTCTATAGCTGAGCAGATTTTGCTAAAAACAAAATGAAGGGGCTTGTTTCACAGTGCAATGGTGCAATGGAGCAACGGATTGGGTTTTGAAGAGATACCACTGAATTCTCCTTGAAAGGACTTTGATCTAGAAAACTTGAGTCTGCAGATTTTTGTTAGCACAACCACAGTTGATTTGACTGACTACAACAGATTTTTTGTTATGTTGGCGTCACACCATTGGTGATTGTTGATATCATAAATAGGGGCAAGGAAGGACATGAGAGATGTTCGATTTAAACAGTGTATTCTGGGCCCTCTCTGGTGGCACAGCAGGTTAAAGCACAGCGCTATGAAGCTTTCTGAAGCCACTACAGAATGACTTCAATCCCCAGCCAGGAAGGTGACCCACTTGGTGTGGCAGACCTCTCCTGACCTACCCAGTGATCCCCTCAGCAGTGTGTTTCGTTAGATCTGCCTGTTCTGCTTCCCACTCCGTCTCTGGTGAATCCTCTCAACCCACCCCCAACACACACACCTCTGGCCTATACCCATAAATAAATAAAACTTTAAAAATATATATAGTGTATCCTGGAAATGGCCTAAAGGCCAAACTGAAAATTCTTTTTCATATAAGGTGGCTTCAGTGAGAACTTTCTTTTTCAACCCAATTTTGAACTTTCTGGTTCTAGGCACCCCCCGCAGCATCTTATAATTCCACTTTTCTAAGAATATTTTCCAAGAAGTTCCCCAAATCTCCAGTTGTTGGTCTTCTTACTACATAAGACTTGACTTGAAATGTAATCATTTGCATTTTCAGAAACCTTTCATGTTTATCTGATGAATTAGGCCATTGGTTTTCTGTTTCTGCCCGAGTTTTGCTTTGCCTTCCTGTTCTCTGAAGATGCTGGAAGTTGCGGGGAGAGGGAGGCCATTAATGACACAATCTTCTTTATAGCGTGTTGTTGAAGAACCAAGGTAGATGAGGTAATGTCTTTGGACCTAAACTACCTCCTACTGCTCACTAAGATCTGGTGATGGACAGTCATTCACCTATATAGAAAGTTTCAGGGGTTGTCCCCCACAATATTGATTTCATCAAAAGATAGTGATGTGGTGTCACCCAGAGATCAGGAAAAATACAAGCTAATATTAGTGTTATTTAGAGAATTTTGAAGCAATGCCCTTAAGACATGAATAAATGTCAAATGTGACATCCACCACTGTAGTTACTTCAAGGTGATTACAAGCCTGGTGAGTCATTCTTCCATTGTAGTCTTAAGCAAGATGCAGAAAACTCTGCTATTCCTTACCTCTCTAAGTCTTGTGTCTGCTTTGTGATGCAGGAAGGCTATGATATTCCTATAGTTTTAATAATAATAAAAAAAAAATCCCCAGAACTGAGAAAAAGACTTGCCTGTGATTCAAGGTGGTTGTTGTATCTTTTCTTTTTCCGCCTCTTGAAAGCTTGCCTTTCTCCACCACACTGTTCTGTAATATTTTCCCCATGATTTGCTAATGACTTGTCAGTTTCATTCACATTACCTAGGTAAAACACCTGCTTGAATAATTGCTGACATTCAAAAGAATGTCATGTATACATCTGACAGTTAATTTTATTCACTAGCTCCCTTCTGCTTCATAGATTCCTGTGAGTTTGGGTTAATTAAGCTGAATTCTATTTTTGCTAGCAAGCTGGTGATCCTTTGGATTGAATATGCAGCTGAGTTATCCCTGTAATCAGTGACTGCTTTGGGAAAGCCTTGGTTCCTTCCTGCTTCCAGCACGGGACGGCCACGCAGGGAACTCTGAATATGAACAAGACTGGATGCTTTTGACCAGACATTTTGCATCACCCTCTTCTCTTAAAGGTACATGACTGATGGTGGACTTGGCCTCTACACCCGTCGCCTGAACCGACTCCCCGATGGGATGGCTGTGGTGCGGGAGACGCTGCAAAGAAATACCTCTCTGGGCCTTGGAGATGCTGACAGGTAAGCTTGACTCACTTGGGGTTGACTTGAATGCAGAGATCATTCCAGAGTGATCTGAAAAATGAGGCTGATGATAATAAGAGCAGATGGGTGCTGTTGTAGCCCCTAATGAAGTGAAGAGGCTTGGAAGCTGTGCTTGGCATTGAGAGCAGACACAGTAGGTAGAAAGGGACTACAGAATGCCTTTTGAGTTAGCCTTTGAGTGCATGGTGCTTCTAACAGCAAGAACACAGGGATCTCAGTCTTAGGTAGTTCTGTTGCTGTTTTGATTATTACTGCAGCATCTTCACCAGTTGCAGCGGGTCTCCTGGGTATGCTTTACTTCCTCTCATTAACCAGCTTTCTAGGTATTGCACCTTAGAACCGCGTCCCCAGTGATGTGCAGAAGGGAACACTCTAGGCCTTGGCTGCATAGGCTTCACCCTAAGTCTCCTGTTAGCTGGGGGTGGGAGGCAAGGGACAAGGATGTAGGCTTATATGCCACCAGGTAAGAAGTTGACAGTAAAAAGGTTCTGAAAACACTACAGTGAAAAAGAGCCTATTTGGCTTCCATGTTTCCACTTTGACTAAAATACTGATTCTGTTACCATGAGCAATTGATTACAGGGATTGGACTGTACTGTTTGCAAGATCCTTCTCCACTCTGTTGTGCTATGTGTCTAGATTTCAAGTCCCTTTAAGCTGTGACTTCTTAAAGATTTTCTGGCCTATTTAACCTCTTCTGCATCTGGGATGATGGGACAGTGTGGAATTGAGATGTACAGCGTTAAAGGTCACTGCTTTGGGGGTTGGGGGTGGTGGTGCCAGACCTGGTCTGTCAGAAACTGAATGTTGGTAACACACGTACAACTTGTGGCTATTCTCTTGGCAGTTCTCTGCCTGCAAAGAAATGGGACAGCATAGTAAGGAAACAGATATTAAAGTCACCCCAGAAATGGATTTACCAAAGAGGAATATTTACCTTCTGTCAGGAGGGCTGGACAGCTGAGCTGGGTGAAGAACACTAAACAGGCTGTCAGGAACTGGGGATAAACCCGACTCTGCCACTAACATGAATATGTCTTTCTCAGAGACATCCCAGTGTTGAGGGTGTGATCTATATCAGAGAGGACAGAAGGCTTTCCACTGCAAGTGTGGCTTTTCCCCTATAATTAATAATGCATGTTTAGGTTTGCAAACTCCATAGAAAGAGGAACCGTTTGAGAACTGCTCTTTCTAAGGCCAACATTCTCTGTGAATAAAATCATTAGAGTCGATTTTACCAGGGGGAAAAACAAATCAGTGTTGCAACACCCCCAATGGAGATTTCACAATTTGCCAAATTATTTTGCTTGTTTTTGTTCTCCTTTAAACATAACATGTAATTTGGTTAGTAAACCTGTTAGCATAAAATGCAAGCCTTACAAGGTACATTTCCCCCATAGCAAAAGAAGAATCTGTGCTAGGCAGTTTAATTTAATGCTTCATTGCAGGGTTAATAGAATTATAATAGATCACAGCTGAATTTGTTTCTGCTTTTAGAGATGGAAGATGTGGGTAGGGACTGGAAAGCAGCATTAGCATGTGTTAGGTTATTCTATTGCAGCATGGATGGTGGGCCCCGAGCAGCAATATATTCTGGTGACCCCCAGACTGGGAGGATCAGATGTGAGCATTATTGAAAGTTGAATGGATAGCTGATCAAATTTTAAAGAAATAATTCAGATTACTTTAAAAAATAGAATATAATAATTCTTATAAATTTCCCATTTTATATGTTTTGAACTGAGATATTTTGCATCGTTCTGAAATATATTAAACTTTTGTAATCCCCAAAGTTATAATAAAAACACCATAGTAATGTTTCATCTGTGGTTAAGCTGAAGTAATAATGGGTTAGTTTTTTATAAAGGTCTTCATGTAACTCTTTCTAAAAGCAATTATTTTTCCCCAAAGTGGGAGGCTAATATTAGTAATGGCAGAAATAACTTTAGACTTCAGGCAGAGAAATGTTTCTTTGTAACATTTAAATTTTAATATTTTGGTAATATTTTGTAGCTAGCATATCAACTCTGATTTTACAAATACTGCTTAGGATTAGGGTAGTGTAGGCACAAGACAATTTAATGTGAATTATCAAGGGAGAAAGTCGCAGATGGTGTGCAGAGACATATACATGATAGTATGCAAATAACTGCAAGTGAGGTAGTCCTATTCCTGTCCCTGTTGTTACAACTGCGTCTTTTTTTTTTTTCTTTCCCTTCTATTTGGATGATAAATCATAGGCAATTCAATATCATGTTTTCCTAAGACTCTAAATGTAAAGTGAGATTGCACACTTCTGATGAGTCTATTACATCCATAGAAAAGTGGATGTTCTTTTATAAAGTGCAGGTATTTCAATGCTACTATGTAGAAAGTATTTTTCTTCATTTATAAATTAGATCTATATAGGCAGAATGTTAATATATTGGTGAGAAGAAACATAATAATCATCTAAATCTGTCTTTCCTTTTCCGCTACCCCATTGTCTGGGAAACTTCCAAGACCACGGTATTTGTTGATTATTGTTAGAATATATATTTTCTAGTGTACATTTAAATACCTGACATTTGTTATTCAAATGACTATTACTGCATTGGACTCAAACATTACTATTTACATAGATTCATTTTATTAAGCAATAGTTGGAAATGTCTAGGTTGATGAATGAGCAGACTGATGTCAGTTATTTACATCCATTTTTTCTCAAGTCAAAATTCTAATCCTAACATGTATCTAATGCTGACATTGGGGTTTATTTTTTATCAAATACCTGTCTGTGCTTTGATTTTTTTCAATTATTTTATTATGCCAAAAATACATGCTTATGAAAAGGAAAAAAAACCCTAAGTTCTTTCAACACTTTTAATGAGTGAAAAAATGCAAAGGATCCAGTACTTTCCAGAATTTCCCCCCTTTAGCCTGCAAAAAGAGTCACAGAGCTGTGTAATTTCCAGGAATTTCATCATTTAAAAAATATGTTAAGGACTATGAGTTCTTAACACACAGGTTGCATGAATTCTACTAAGAAAGTAGGAAAAATACTGAGAGGTAACACCTGACTCGACTTTGTAAGCAGAGCCAGTCACCTCACCGTGGAAAGTGGAGAATCATTAACCTCGCAGTGCAAGCTCAGAGAGCAGCCAGCCCAGGAGAAGCCCAAAGGACGCTGACCTACCAGACAGACCCTGGCTGTTTACAACAGGATGTGCTTGGGGTATCTTGAGGGTTATTAAAAGTAAGTGATAGGAATGTGTAGCTTCAGCTCCCAGGAGATAGGGAGGAAGCATGTCCGTTTGGGAGTCTCGCATGTCACCAGTCAGCTTCCGAGAAATAATAAATGACGCTAGTAAATTCAAAATGCCAAGTTTGCCCTTGATCTCTTGTCACTCTTCAGGATTGCCACCCCTGGGGTCCAGGGTTTATGGGATAGTCAGCAGTGGTTATATCCAGCAAGCTAGAACGTGCCGGCTGAAAAGAGATCAAAAGAGACAAATGGAAGTGGCTTATTACAAGTCATAGGTCCCAGATAACAGACAAATAGAGCTTGGCGTGGAGTTCTCTGGGCTGTAGCTAGGAGGAAAGAAAGCTGAGTGGCTGGGGTTCCAGTGATAAGTGGTTCGCTGAACTCTCTCAAGGTGATGGTTTTCAAAGCTTAAAGCTCAGCAATAGGAAGGTGTCCACTTCCAATGGTCTTTCTTTGTCCCTCCAAAGCACCTCTGTGCCCATTAGCTTTGCAATGCCTTGGCTGTGGCATTCAGTGGGCTGGGAGCAGATAGAGACTCCTCTGTGGCATTTCAGGTAGGCTGTGCATGAGAGCTGCAGGGGGATTTTGGGGATCATTGTTACTTTTTAAAAAAGATTTATTTATGCATACAGAAGTCAGAGGTGCAGGGGCAGTGAGAGGGTTCACCAGAGACAGAGTGGGGAGCAGAACAGGCAGACTGACAGAGTACACTGCTGAGGAGAACAGCAGGGGCGATCAGGAGAGGTCTGCCGCACCATGTGGGTCACCTCTGGGGCAAGGATCGAACTCTCTCTGAAGTGGCTGCAGCCATCTTGCAGTGCTGAGTCCTAACTCATCGTGCCACCAAGGAGGGCACACTGTTAACTTTCTTCCAAACCTCTAGACTGTATAGAATGCCAATAGCTTTTATTTAGGAAATAGCCAAAACAAAACAAAAAACAAACAAAAAAAAAGCACTATGATGAAAGCTCAACTTCAAACTATGAGAAAATGAAAATTATCTCTCACAACATACCAAGAAACCAAGCAGGGGAGGATAAACTGTTTTTCCCCTTCTTATTACAAGGGGACAAGAGGTTTGTTATCCTCCAAATGTTGAGTGTTTCAGATATGGAGACCACATTTTCAGTTAAGGATTCAGAGCCACTAGACAGACTTTCGGTCTGCAGCAGGGGCTCTGTCCTCAGAGTTGTCCCAGTTTCAGCTTGAATGGGGAGTCCCATGGTGTGAGGAGGAGTCCCATGGTGTGAGGAGGTGACTATGCAACCTGGTATTTGACTGGCCTGCCAAGCTGAACCCTCCTTACTCGACGTGTGTGTCACAAGATCTTCAAGAACCCATGGTGCCACTTGGCTTTGTGATCTGTGTGGAAAATAATAGCCCTCCTGGCTCTGAGCTGTGCCTTCAGGAGCTCAGGCCCAACATGGAGGGAGGGTTTAATCCAGGTCGGAGATGGGATCCAAGCCAGCAGATGGAATGGGAGGGGGCATAGAGGAGACCCTTACTGGGCCATAAGTTCCCAAGTTGATTATTTGATGAGCACAACCCCTGCTGTGCTATACAGACAAGAGGGAGTTAAGATAGGAAAAATGTTCTCTGCTCTCCTTCCTTTCCAAGCCTGTGGCAAGCAAAATAATATCCTGTGCCAAAGATGTCCATGGACTAACCTTCCAAACCTATGAATGTGTTTCGCTACATAAGCTGGGACGTAAGTTTGCCTAGCAGCTGACAA